CTGCCTGCGGGTCTGCCTGTGCAGCTGTGGGGTTTGCTAATCAATAGCACCATGCAGTACGTTGTGTCTTTTTGCATAATTACAGAATGAAAGCAGACACAGAAAAGAACCAAGTGGAAACTATTAATTTTGTAGAATGGGACTTGATTTGTGTTTCATTTTTCTTTTCTTTGGTTCAGTGGGAAGGAGCTGGAAGACTGGAAGAGGAGGTGACAGCAGCAGTTCAGCTGCCTGTCCTCAAACTGCTTGGTTTAATGTGAAGCCACTGTTTGAACTTTGCTTTTCTGGACCTGTGAAGAGCTGTGAGGGTAGAGAGGCAGCATCACCTGGGACAAGGATGTAAGGCAGGGGCAGGCTGAGCTGGGAGACATTGTACTGCAGTTGTGAGCAATGGTTTCTTACCACTACTTGCCAAAGCGGCCAGTGATGGTTTTCATGGCAGAGACAATCTCGAGGGTGAGACGGTTTTGGTGCAAAGCATCTTTACTTGGTGCACACTTTTTAAAGACACAGCAGCAGTAGTAGATGGCTGGGTAATGCTGGCAGGACTTGAAATGTGCTCAAGGACTATTATTTTTGCTTGGTTTATGAGGAAACAGAGGTGGAGAGAGATCGCTTCTCCCTCTTATTTTATTGGAAAAATACCAGTGGAATGGAAGCCTTTGGAAACGTAGGAATTTTAGACAAGCTGTGCCTACCCATGTAAAATGCTTCTAAGAGTCCAGACCCTGGCGACAGGTTGCTCTGTGACTCTCGATAGGAGCCGGTCCAGACAGCAGCTGCCTGGTTGTGTTTGGCAGTCTTTGATACCACATTTTGAGAGTTTCCATGGTGTGGGTGGTGCCAGGTCCAGTTCCTGGGATGAGTTTGCCCCGAGGCCTCATGGCACTTCCTAACCCCTGCTGGGATCGGGCTTAATGGCTGAGAAAATCCACCATCCACCTCTCGAGATGATCCTGGACTAATTTGAATGGGACTTTTTGACTGCAAGATGGAAGGAAAAGTGATGTGCCCACTATTAGCTATTAACATTGCTAAACCTTTTCTCTGGGTAGAGAAATCTTCTGTCTCTGGAGTGTAATTCTGAACATCTCATAAACATTACACAGATACATGGCACAGAAATTTATAAGCAAAAAAAGGAACAAGGATGCCTGAATATATGAGGGACATGAATCACTCCTAATGCTGGAGGTCGATCCATAATACCTTAAACAAGTACTCCAAGTGCTAATTATCTGCTAATGGGGTATTTGTTCTCCTTCAGTTATGTAAAAGTACACGGCATTCAACTTAAAGAGTGCACTTAAATGGCTTTGTACGGGTGGAGAAGGAACAGCTTTGAAGGCTGCTGCCATGCTTTGCCCTGGAGCTCCTGGAGCCCCTTGCTGAGCTCCTGGTGTGGACTCTTGCTGTGCCTCTCCTCCGGCTTTTTCACTTGTCATTCCAACTACTTTCGTTCTCCATATCTTAACATTATCCTAGTCAGCAATGCTGCCAAAGATGTGAATAAAATTATAAATCCTATATTGTGGCTTTTGCCACCGCTGCTGGCCAGAGAGCAGTGAAGATGCCTGTTGAGTACAAGGGGAGTTTCCACCCGAGTAACAAAGCCCGGTAAAGTGAATGAGCTCTTTGATCGCAACCCTGGGAAGAAAGGGTCTCAGTGAACTACTCTCACGGGGAAAGAGATGCAGTGACCCATCCTCATTGCAGAAATGCCTTGTTGGAGCTCGCAGAGCTGAGCTGACATCAAGGAGAGGGTGAGGGACAGGGGCCCGTGCTGGAGCCAGCAGCTGGAGAACCTGTAACAAACCTCCACTGGTCAGATCACCCCAGAGCCACCGAGGACCTTCCTTCAGCAGGGCTTCAGCCACTTTTAACTAATTCAAATGAATAATGTATTTTTAATTCTTTATGTCCTTAGAGCAGTAGTACAGACCCATGACCAACAGGAATGAAAAGAACACTGAATATGTGGATCACAGAGACTTTGAGCTGTGATAAAAATATGGAAACGTGATACTTTCTTACACTAAACATCATAAGTTATTAAATAACATTATCACTAAGTTATCATTACAGGAATAATCAAAAGGCAGATGCAGAGCCTGGAAAATTCTTTGTGATAATAGTGGTTTCGTCAGGAAGTTCAGATCCTCTGCCTGACTCCCTCACCTAATTGGAACGGAGGCCAAAATGAATAAAAACTTTGCTTGGTCACCTATGGAATACCTGCTTGTATCTGTAGGGCATTGCATGATCTGTGTCTTTAGCACTATTATCAGTAATGACTTTTACTGTAACTGTGGAGGGGGGGTGAGTATATGATTCATCTACAGATGGGTATTTTGTGATATTTGAGCCAAATTCAGCTCCAGTGTACAAAATTATTCAAAAAAAATTTCAAAACTTATTTTTCAAAATATGTCACTAACTGCACCACTTACTCTATCTTGATTTCAGACTATTGTAACTTTTTTAACTAAAAAAATAATGACTGATAGAAAAGCCACACACAAGTGAACAAGAATTTGAAATCACTGTGTTTATTAGTGATGTATGAATGTTAATATTGGTGCACATGGCATGAGCACATGAAACAGGCTCTTAATCCTGTTTGAACTAAAATGTATTTCACAGAGAAATTTCCCCTTCCATTTTCAATGCCCTTGATAACTCTCAATCCCTTTTCACTGTAAATTCCCGAAGTGTAAACTCAGATGCCCTGGGTGGATGCTGCCTGCAGACACACCACTGATCCTTCACATGAAGCCTTTCCTTTCCGTGCACATCCTCCCTCTGGAGCACCTCTACTCTCTGCTGCTCTTTAGCCCAAATTTAAAGCTATGTCAGTCCTTGCTTATGACTAAAATGTGGGATGCCATGTACTTATTTATGTAAAGTGTTTGGAGGCTTTAACTCAAGAGCACCATAGAAACTGGGCTGGTATTGTAGTCGGGGCTTTTATTCAGGTTGTCTGATGTGCTGCGGATGCTGCCTGCCTTTGTGTACTCCAGCCCCATGTTTATCCCGACGCTGCCTTTGTGTTCCCTATTTGACATATTTTACTGTAAATAAAGAGAAACACTGTCTTGCAGCTGTATCCACTGTGACATTTGACTCTCTTCTGAATGATTGCATTGTGCTGTGTGCTTTAAAAACATTATCTCTTTTAAGAAATAATTTAGTCCTTTAATAGTTTCCTGCATGTGCCTGTATTCCTTTGCACTTCCAGAGAGCTCAGGTGTTTGCCCACCTCTGTCAAACCTCAGCCAGAGCTGCTCTTGCTGTACTGAGGGCTGGTACCAGGTCTTGGCACTGCTCAGTTCCCATTTTGCCTGGTCTTTTTAACTGCACCCTCTGATCAGATTGTGCAGTATGGCTTTTTCTGGAGCATGAGCCTTTTGCCACATTTCTTTAGATATTATGCAGCATCTTTAAATGAGGTCTATTAATATAATATATTCTTTATTATAAGTTGACTCTTACTGGCTACTATACAATTATGGTGATCTTCCCTCTGCTGCCTGGTAATGGGTGATCACCATCTCAATCTTTTTATGTGTTGAAGATACTCCTCTTTTTTACTTTAGAAAGTTTAAAACCTTACTGAGGCTGGCTTTCTCAAAGCTGCCTTGATTCATTGGGTGCTTAACTCCCATAGTCCTTGTTTAACATCCTTTTTGTGAAATTTGTATTTTTGCCTTTACACAACTGTGTTGTTTTTATATAACTTGTGATTGCAAACTGATTCTGAAACACTTTCAAAATAATCCTCTGAATTTAGAAATGCACAGGGGGTTGCTCTAAGTATTGAATGCAAATAAATCTATAACTGTAGAGGGGCTGGTAGTCCTGCTGGCATTTTCCAGAGCAAGGCCAATCAGTTTCCCATAAGGCTGCCAGGGTGTCACTATCTCAGATGTGACTATTGTTATGGATAGCATCTTCCTGAAAGTCATCAAACTTTAAAAATGATGTTCACTGTGCATGCACATGGCAGAAGAGGGCAAAGCAAAATGAAATCAACATCTTGAGTTAGCTGGTGTGAAAAGCAAGTGTATAGGTTTCCCCAGAAAAGGAGCGCAATGAAAGCAGCACTGGTGTCTTTGAGGAGAAGCATGGCCGTGAGTGGAGGGGCAGGGACCACCATGTCCCCACAGATCAGGGCTCCGTGTCTCCGTGTCAGCCTCATGGGGCTTGGAAGGCGAATCTGATGGAGGAGGTGGTGGATGCCTCCACCAGCAAATCCTGTTTTCAGACAAGCCATGCTGAGCTCGGGGGGCTCCTCTGCATCTCAGGACTAGTTCCCTCTCACCAGCAGCTGCGTTGTGTATAGTATAGGATCTGTGTCATGCATAATATAGAACAATGACATTCCCAAAAGGGGTTACAAGCAAAGAATCCGGCATCCAAATTGTCCCAGCGACCTGATGAGACATGGACGTCATTCGGAGCTGCAGGAGGGCTCTTGGTTCTCTCCCGGAGAGAACAGCTCTGCACTCTGGCAGTCTCGGCTTTGTGCTTTTATTAAAATTCCCCAGAATAAAAAGAAAAAGCATCTGTGAAGGAACAAGACAGATAAGAGATTCAAAAAATATTTTTATTGCAATCTTAAATTACCATAATTAAATTAAATTATTAAATGTATTTTTATTAAATTAGCACACAGGCTGGTGTCACTTGCCTTAAATATTTTAATAAAGCCTGTGAAGTCTTCCCTTGTTATTAGTGCTCTTTGAATGTATCTATTTTAATGATAGTATGAGTTTAAGTCCTGGTACTGGGAAGAGACCCTGGATGGGTGAACTCTGCATTTCTCTGGGGGGTCCAGAAGGGTTATGGGGCTTTCTTTGCTCAGGAGTGGCTGTGGGACATGTACGTATATCTGGAGGAGATGCACAAATGACGTGTTGTGACAATAGAGCAGCAAAGCATTTAGGCACATGTTGGAAAACTCTGTGGAGCAGAGATGTACTTACAGAGCAGGGCCTGGAGGAAATCTGTGTATTGCTGGGTTTGAAGATAATAGAGAGGGATGAATTAATAATTATATATGTGTGTGCTACATTTAAAGACAGATTTTTTTTTTCTGCCAAACCTACCTTCCCGCTTTCTTTATCACCGGCTATAAACTGGGTACTTCTCATGGAAGGTGGTGGTTTTAAAGATGCTGCTGCTTTTGGAATTAACTTGAACTACTTTCATGGGAGGGGCTGGGGATGCTCAGACCAGGGCTCCTCACCTTGCTCTGAACTGGGTAGGGCCTTGCAAATAACCTTCTCACTGGCTCTCTGGCAACTGAAAAAGTAAAAAAAAAATGAAAATGAAAATTTATAGATTTTCTGATGAATTTTAAAAATGGGGAAAAGTTGGTTCATTTAAATTATGTAATTTAAAGTTATTTTTAAAATATATAGAAAATGTGGGAATCTGCAGAGGGCTGGATGGCAAAGGGGCTTGGGGTGGCAATGGGGCTTGGGAATTATTTGCCAAGTGGAATGTGTAAAACTAAGATTGAAATCCCCTCTTTCTTGATTGCATGGGGATTTGAATTTGGGTCTCTGAACTCCTCTGAGAGTGCCCAACCGCCAGCACATTCTGGGATGAGAATCTGTCCTGCTGAAGCTGTTCTGCTTTGTAAGAATAATTAAATATTCATTGGGCCAGTGAGAGAACAGAAACAAGTTGATAGCCTGGGGATTAAGCCTCTCCAATAAGACAAGGATACAGAAGTAATTCAGTTCCTGATCCAACTCTGATGCTGAATGGATATGAATCTAGGGTCATGCTGACCAAGTTTACCAGGATCCTGTATTTTTCACCATATATGTATCATAACATTTTTTTTCTCCTTGTCATCTTTCCTTACTTTACAGAAACTGCTACCACACTGGCTTTTATAGTGGTGAGTCTGTGTCAACTAGAGTTATCCCCATTTTTACTGGAATCAGAATTGGGGACATGGGCTCTTTAGCAAGCCATCCTTGTTCCAGCATGCCTTTTTGAACCCCCAGTTTGCTACTTAGTGCAGTGGGGTGGAGGAAGTATACCTTAATTATAGGTTTTTACAGGAAACATTTTTTACTGTATGTCCAGTCTGTGGTAGTAATCTGTAATCACACAGTAGGAGGGAACTGTAAACCTTTAATATGACATTAATAAACACAATATTTTCTGTCAAACATTAACAAAACAGAAAATCAGCACTAAACATCTATTCAAATATGATGCTGCACTAAGGAACATTTTTTCAGTTCTATTCTGAACTCACCTGATTAAATGACAAACTCATTCCTGAGTTGCTTGGTTTTCTTTTGGTGTGGGGAAAAAAGAAAAAAAGATGTTTTCCAGATGGAGCTCACTAGCAAGAAAGCTGTGCCTATACCCAGCCCCCTGCGCCCCCGTTTGATGCAAGCCCGCAGGCTGGGCAGACTGCGGGCAGAGCGCTGTGTCCTCACCACTGCCCTGGGGCCTGGCTTCGGCACCTTCCCCTGACAGGTCTGCTTTCACAGGATCTTAGCAAAACCCATTCCTTTCATTCAGTACACCTTCTCTTTTGATGTCCAGATATACGACTGGGCTGTCCTGATGGCCCATCACATGCCGGGGTGAGGATGCTTGGAAACAATTCCTAACGCACTGCTTGGGGCACGGTAAATGAAGTGCTTGGATGCACCTTGTTCTTACACAGAAGGCTCTGTGAAACCAAAGAACCCTGTCTAAATGGGAGAGGAAACTTATAGAGTGTTTATCGTGAGCAATTTCATTCATAACTTGGCACCAAGTGCTCTGTGAGATGACAAGTTCAGATTTTTCTAGAAACTGCCTTCCCAGTGGGCGACTCCAGGAGCTGCAAAATTTAACACCTTGGGAGAGACAGAGTAAAGTAACTCTCCCTCCCAGCTCTGCACAAACAGGCAGCGGAGGGGCGTGTGTGTGTGTGTGTGTGTGTGTGTGTGTGTGTGTGTGTGTGTGTGAGTGTGTGTGTGTGTGTCTGTGTGTCTGTGTGTGTCTGTGTGTGTCTGTGTCTGTGTGTGTGTGTGTGTGTTAAAAACCGCCCGCGACTTTTCCCGCGGCAGCTGAGCCCTTGCGCTCGGGGGGGATTTCGGTGCCCCCGCCCCGGTGCAGACCACGGGCGGCGGGCCCGGCCCGTCTGCGCGGGGGCTGCGCTCCGCGGGCCGGGCCGCGGACCCAGCGCCGGCCGGGCCGGGCCGGGCCGGGCCGGGCCGGACCCGACGGGGCGGGGGGGAGAAGGGGGGGCGGCGGCTCGGCGCGGCCGCGAGTCCGGTCCGCGGCGGCGGTCCGCGTTTTGCGGGCGGCCGCTGTATTTCCCGGGCCGTCCATGGCTCGGTGCTGTTGGCTCTCTCTCCGTCTGATCGGCGCAGGCTGCGCGGGGCTCCCTACGGGATCAGAGCGCTCCCCCGCCGGGACTCCACTCCTCACATCCTCCTGCTGGGACTCAGCTACATTTCCAGCCAAGCCTGGCTTTATTATGTGTGTCTGCACTGCAGCCCCAGCAGCAAGATCAGGAGGAGGAAAAGGAGCCAGGACAAAGAAAAGAGAGGGAGGCTGGCGAGAGCTAAAGAAAATAAAAACCCAGGGCAGCAGCGGCAGCAGCGGCAGCAATGAAGGCAGGAGCGGTGCCACCTTCCAGCGAATAACCCATGGAGGCAGCTAGCGGCCCCGGCATCGATGCAAAGAAGCACTTACCTTGTTCCGCGAAGTGCGTGCGTGCAGGGGAAGGCGGCGGCGAGCGCGGCCGGCCGCGGGGAGCCCACCCGCCCGCCCGCCCAGCTCCAGCTCCGCGCCGCGCACGGCCGGCCGCGCCGCGCCGGGGACACGGGGCGGCCGCCCCTCGGCCCCCGCCGCCAGCATAAAAAAGGACTCGTCGCCCTCCCCGGTCAGCGGCGGGGGCGAGGAAGGGAGAGGCAGCCGGGGGCGAGCGGGCAGAGAGGGAGGGAGGGGGCCGAGCGCGGCCGAGGGAGGATTTAGGAAAATCGCAACAAGGTCGCACCCCCGGAGCGCCCCGGATTGCCGGGGCCGGAGCTCCTCGTGGGTTTAGACAGAGTTCTCGCCGCGTGCCCTCCCCCACCCCATACCCAGGGACCCCGCACAGGGCTCTGCTGCTTTTTTTTTTTTTTT